GCGTGCGGGCGCGTGCTCAAAGTCACGCACATTTTATGTGTGTAGTTTACAAACACTCATAGCACACTTACACTTACCTGCACACACTCACACACACACACACATACACACACACACACACACACCCACACACACACACACACACATACACACACACACACACACACACACACACACAAACTCACAAACTCATGCACACACACACACACACACACACACACACACACACACAAACTCACAAACTCATGCACACACACACACACACACACACACTGTCGTGCGCTTGTGTACGCCACCATCGTAAACACGAACACAGTCGTTTGAAGACAGATAAATATTTCAGCAACATGGCCCCTATGCACTCACCCCCCCCCCCCCCCCGAAAAAATGAAAAAAAAAATAAATAAAGAGAGCAAACAGGGGTTAACACCCCTCCCCCCCCCAAAAAAAAAAATCAACAACAACAAAATACGAACAACCCCACTTCCCAAGAAAGAAAAACAAAAAATACCGCCCCATTTCCGACCCGTGGACTCCCTTTAATAAAACCCACAATGCAAAGAATGAGGACTCTAGCCTCTACTGCTCTTGTAGCGAAGTAGTAGCAGTAGCAAAACAACATGAAGAATAACCTCTTAAGCTTTATTGTCTGCATGTCAGTGTAGAGGGCTGTTTGATGGAAAACTTTTCGGGGCCGCTCAGTGCTTGATATTAGAAATAAATAAGTAAAAAGACCCATAGAAATACCCAAATCCCAGAGTCAAACTATTATCATAAACCGTGTCTTCGGCCTCTCTACCTGTAGTTTTGCTTTCGCCTCGCTCAGTGGGACCATTTTCGTGTGGGTTGAAGCGATCCCTTTGAGAGTCCCAGGTCCGCTGAAAAAGTAATTGGTAACTGTACACGCCATAGCTCCGAACGGAGGCATCTTCTGTTTGCGTGGCGTGGAAAGAGCATTTAACTCCGAATGACCGCACCACGCCTCAGCAGGTCAGTTAGTTGTGCTTCAGATGACATAGGGGCAACAACGAAGGACTGCTCTCTTATCGACTCTGACACTTAATTCATTTTACTCGGTCTCTTGCTCTTTTGATGACCTCTTTCTGTGCGTCTCTCCCTCTCTTTCTTTATTCTTTCTTTCCTTTCTTTCTTTCTTTCTTTCTTTCTTTCTTTCTTTCTTTCTTTCTTTCTTTCTCTCTCTCTCTCTCTCTCTCTCTATCTCTTTCTTTGTGTGTTTTTGTATGGGTCTTCCCGCCTCCCCCCCCCCCCCCCACAAACCAATACATATGGAACAATAACTACTAGTTATAAAAGGGACTGGAGTCGAACGAACATTAGACAGGACACGTGAAAGTGAAGGGAGGACAGGGATGCCTTTTTCAAACAATAATTGATCCGGGGAGACGACAGTTTAATGACAAGACATCTCGTGGCAGAATGTGGAAAGCAAAAAAAAGTGAAGAACCACTTTAATTT